GGATTTCAATGTTAACAAATATTTTGAAGTTTTCTTTTCAGTAACTAATGGCATATGCATAAAGCAAAATGAACAGAAAGTGTTTTAAAATAATAATAGGTGCATAGCAATTAGAGGCATAATATGGATAGAAGAAACACTTCAATACAATGAAACAAAATGTGTTAAAAGAGAAAAACAACAAAACACAGGACTTCAGTTTTTCTCAAGGGAGTTAAATGCATTTAGTGGATATCTGACAACCGGTAAGTTTTATAGGAAGTCACAAGACCTAGATTACAACAAATGCTTTGAATCTATTTTAACTGCTAGTTGACAAGTTACATTACTTGGCTGTATTTTTCATTCCTTACCTGGGAAATGCTGGAATAAGGGAAAATGATTCTATGTTAGTTTCCTAGGGCTGTTGCGACAAAGTACCATACATTTGGTAGATTACCGCAAGAGAACTCTCTCATAGTCCTACAGGTTGGAAGTTCAAAACCAAGGTGTTAGCAGATCCATGCTACCTCTGAAGGCTCTAAGGAAGAATCTTTTCTTGCCCCTTTCCAGCTCCTGCTGGCTCCTAGCAATCCTTGGCATTCTTAGGTTTGTGTATGCTACGCTCCACCATCTGGCTCTGCCGCCTTCTTCTCTCTCTGATTCCTCAGTATCTGTGCATCTGTGTGTCCTCTCTTCTTATAAGGACACCAGTTATTAGGGCTTGCCCTAATCTACTATAATATCATCTTCACTAACTACAACTACAAATACTGTATTCCAAAAAAAAAAAAAAGGTCACATTCTGAGTTTCTGGTGGATGTACATTGGGACACTATTTAACTCACTATGATTTCCAATGCAACAATCCTAAAATAATTCTCTTCATTTTTAAAATCTCCTCACTTACTAAAGCAGGTGAAAAGGAGTAACGATGTATCCCAGTTCTTTATGAACTCTTACATGAGGATGGAAAAAAAAGAAAATTGATCATTTGGTTTCAGGGTTTGCCTGTAAGGTAACAAAGGCTGTTGTTACAGTATCTGGTGCCAGTTAACCCATGTAGGTAGAAAGCATGAGGGGAGGATTCCAACTAGCTTCAGGCTTTCACAATACCACCAACTCAGGGCAGATACAGACAAAACATTTGCTTCTTAAAAATAGACACAAATGAAAAAATCCAAACCTATCACTACTAACTAAAAAATTAATCCAGTAACATTCTGCTTCTGATGGGTGAGTGGAGCTGTCTTTATAAATACCAATTGCTTTTCCAACTAATGGGAACCATATGTGAACTACTGTACTTGTGTTTTCCTCTTCAGTTCCCATTAAGTATTGTTATTTGTAATAACTATAAATAACTGATATCCCAAAAGGTATTTCATAATCTTTAATTTATGAAGGGTCCCATATATCTATTGCTTCCAGACCCTTTGACTCTGCAGACCAGACAGTATACTACCATATGGATTACATATCTAATAGAAATATACTGATTTTTAAAGAGCTAACATATCCACTATGGATTGCCTCACTTGATGAAAATAACCCTGGGAATTAGGAAATTTAATTATCTCCATTTTGAGGATAAGAATGTCGAGGTTAAGGATATTAATTAAACTCTTCAAGGTCACAAACATACTGAGTGAAGAATTTTTAATGAAAAAAAAAAACAGTTTTTGAGTCAGAGCTCATGCACTTTATCATCGTACCATACTGCATCTCATCCTCCTTTAAATCTCAAATTTGCACACAAGCTACTAGAAACCTCGGGACTTTCCTCACCTTAAACCTTTTAGGGAATTTCTCTGCCCTTCTCATGTCACTCAGTCCCTGGTAAGCATGCTATATCTCCTGTAGGACACTAGTCTTGGATTTGGCTCTAGTTTCTGAATCAAGTATCTCTTAAGGTCCTTACTCTCTCTGGCTACTTCCATGCCATCTAAATGAAAAATCTAGGAGTGCATTTTTGCTGTCGGGGTTTTGTTAATCTTCTCCAAATGGGGAAACAGAATAGTAACTGACATGGGGAAATTACAGCAGTTTCATGAGCATGTAACATCTTCCTTTCCTGAATTTTTCTTCATGGGAACCTTAAAGAATACTTAAAAATTATTTAACGTCAAGGACTACTGATTCAGTTCCACAGTGGTTGGGGTCTAAATTGGCCTTGACAGAGTTAAATCCATCTCAGCTTGAATGTTTTGTTATTGTTGTTGTTTATTTTTCCTCCTTTGAGAGTCTGATCTTCAAAATCCTTGCAGTGCTCAAAATCATGCTAACTCTGGTTTAGAACCTCCAGAGCAAACCTTGGGTTCTCTCTGCTGTCTTATTCTCTTTAACCTGGGAGAGAAACGCACAGTCTTCACATTTTCTTATGCTTCAGTGAAGCTATAGGTCAGTTTGCCTCCCATCAAGTCCTCAGGAACTGTCCACAGTCGAGTTATCTGTAGCCTTAGGATTATTTTACCCCACCTTCCCAAGTTTCACCTTTACAACTTTATGCTTCTGAGATTCTACTTAAGTACTGATATTCCTGTTTTCACTTTATCCTGTTGAATGGTTTGAAAGGAGTAAAAGCCCAAGGGAGGTTGGTGGCCCAGTATCAAGGAAAGACTAGTCTCATGAAAACAGGCTAATGAGAAATCCATCTTAGTGATAGTGTACTGACTTCCAGGACAGTTTTTCCTAATAGGTGGTGAGCACAAAACCAGAGACAATGTTTTTGGTGATGCATGGATGAGTATGACAAAACTGTAAAATTGTGTGTTTATTGTAACACACAGCACAAAGGAAAACACAACTATTCTTTCATGCCTGTGTTTGCTAGGACCAGGAAAAGTTGACAAAATGAGTAGATCTCAAGTCCATTAAAACAGGAGAAAAACACTAAATGCCATAAGCTGTACACAGCAATGGCAAGACATGGAATGAGACTATGTGAATGACAGGAGTCTGGAAGTCTTGTTTTAAAGTATCAAAATCCATTAAGAGCAGGAAATAAACATGCACATTCAGACTTTGAAGCGAGATGACTCACCAACTGAGTCACCTTAGACAAAATTACTTTAATTTCTGTGGCTTCCTCTGCTTCCTTCAAAATGTTGGAAAATCTTTCTTGAAGTGTATTTATGAGGATTAAATAACATAACTACAGATGAAGGTCCATCATACATAGTTCATAAAATTTTGTTCACATTCCTCCCCCCTACACCCACCTGCTAAAATAATAAGCATGCTAAGTAATGTCTGAGATCTACAAGTGTTTTTCTTTCTCCTCTGTCCTGCCTCTTTTCTTTCTCTCCCACAGATGACCTCCGTTAGTCCTTGAAAGGAAGATTTATTCTGTGAAGATTTTTGGACTCATATTACAAAGAAAGAAACCCACAAACTTCAAACTCTTTTAATATCTGTTCTAAGCTGTTTTGTTTATCTTGGAAGATGGGAATTGGCCACTTTTATTTTCCAGTGGCTGGTTAGAAGCTAGGTCACTAAGGTTAACTTCTTAAAGAAATGAAAAACAAGTTGCCTTTTCCAGAAAAAAAAAAAAAAAAAAAAAATTGACTTTCAGTGAGAATAAAGCAATGTTCCAGTAATACTGAGTAGTTCTTTAGCAATTTTTCAATACTCATCAGTAATAAATCTTTTATAAGGAATGTAATTCAGTGGTTTTCCAATTTAAATATACTTTTGAAATATCAGTATAAGTTAAAAATTGATTTTATAGGAACATGGAATGATTTCACTGAAAATTATAAAATGATTGAAGCAGAAATTATTTTAATAGATATGTGTATAATTTTCAATGATTCTTTGCATAAAGTATGTTAATTTCTTAAAATGTTTATTTTTATGTATAACCTAAAGCTTGTTTACAAAACATTTTTAAAGGAAGGCAGACTTAGCTAGCTTTTCTATTTAAAAAAAAGTATTTAATAATTATATACAGAAATATCTATGTACTGTGTTTTAAATAACAGACATTAGATAAAAAAAGAAATTAATCTTATAACTGACCTTTTTTTTTTTAGAGTTTCCAATCTATCTTTTTGAGAGGATATTTATCTAATGAAACTAATGAAAAAAGCATGTAAGGAACTATAACTACTCAGAACATAGTCACTAAGGAAGCTCAGAGCAGCCTTCTCTTGGAGAAGATAACCTACTCATATTGGGACGTCGAGTTGAAAATCCTTCAGGGATATGGCAAAAAAGGAGATAGCTATAAGGCACATATAAGTTGTTGGGAACTCACCATTGGATGAAGATCATGACTCTACTGTTTCTAGGAGAAAAAAATCACAATATTCTTATAAATTGACCTGCCTGATTTACCTCTAAGTTTAACACCTAGTAAGGGGAAAAAAACTCCATATGCAGTACCAAGTTTAAATATTAAATAATTAGGAATAAAATTGATTAAAATGAACAAAATGAAAAGGCAATTTTTTAATTTCCCAAAAGATCAAAAGTAGTATTGGACAAATGAAAGGCCAAACACTATTGTTAGATAGGTTAAATCGATATTATAAAAACATCAATTATATCCCAGTTAGTAAAATATAATACAATCACAATAAATATAGTAATTCATTATCTGGAACTAGACAGGTTTACTTTAATAAACTTGTTTCAAAATATATACCAATTGGCACCAAGCGCTTAACCTCATTGGGGTGGAGAAGGCTGCGGCTCTCTAGTCCACAGCGGCAACAGTAACGAAAAACAGGGCTAATGGACTGCTGAATTATGAAGTATTTCAGACCCAATAGGAGAACATCACTCTGCCACTCACTCCTTTATCTCCTACTAGTTATTTAAATTGGACTTTTAATATTCTACCAGCTGCTCTTCAGACACACATGGTGCATTGTTGCCATTCCCCAGACTGCATCTTTGAAACACAGGCTCTTAGTAACCTTCAGCGAACAAAGAGGCAACCTCCCAGATACGTCTGCTGGGAGGGAGTCATCCTGACTGCCCTCTAGCTTTTGCTGGATCTGGATTTGAATTCCATCATGGAGCCTTGCATGGAGTCCTGCCTGGTGCAGGTGTTGCAGAAGGATGTTGGGAAACGATTGCAGGTTGGCCAAGAACTGATAGACTATTTCTCAGATAAACAGAAGTCTGCTGACCTTGAGCATGACCAGACCAGGTTAGATAAACTTGTGGATGGACTTGCTACCTCTTGGGTGAACTCTAGCAATTACAAGGTGGTTCTGCTGGGTATGGACATCCTGTCCTCCCTCATGACCTGGCTGCAGGATTGGTTCAAGGCGCAGATTGGCACAGTGCTGCCAAGTCCAATAGACAGACTAGGAGATGCTAAAGACACTGTGAGGGAGCAGGACCAAACTCTGCTGCTAAAGATCATGGATTAAGCTGCTAATCCCCAGTACGTATGGGACAGAATGCTTGGAGGCTTCAGACACAAGAATTTCCATACTCGAGAAGGCATCTGTCTCTGCCTTATAGCAACACTCAGTGCCTCTGGAGCACAGACTTTAACACTAAGCAAGATTGTGCCACATATATGCAACTTACTTGGAGATCCAAACAGCCAGGTTCGAGATGCAGCAATAAACAGCTTAGTGGAAATTTACAGACATGTAGGAGAATGTGTGAGGACAGATCTCAGTAAAAAAGGATTGCCACAGTCCCGGTTGAATGTAATTTTTACGAAATTTGATGCAGTCCAGAAATATGGAAACATGACACAATCTGCAAATGATAAAAATTTTGACGATGAAGATTCTGTGGATTGTAAGAGATCTTCCTCCGCTAGTTCTACGTCATCCAAGGCTCCACCAAGTTCTCGGAGAAACGTCGGAATGGGAACCACCCGCTGGCTTGGTTCATCCACCCTTGGATCCAAGTCTTCAGCTGCAAAAGAAGGAGCTGGTGCTGTTGATGAAGAGGATTTTATTAAAGCATTTGATGATGTACCCGTAGTACAGATTTATTCCAGCCGAGATCTTGAGGAATCCATAAACAAAATTAGGGAAATATTATCTGATGACAAGCATGATTGGGAGCAGAGAGTAAATGCTCTAAAAAAGATTAGATCTTTTCTTTTGGCTGGTGCTGCTGAGTATGATAACTTCTTTCAACATTTGCGTCTTTTGGATGGAGCCTTTAAACTCTCCGCTAAGGATCTGCGGTCTCAGGTAGTGCGGGAGGCTTGTATCATGTTGGGGCATCTGTCATCAGTTCTGGGGAATAAGTTTGACCATGGAGCTGAAGCCATTATGCCAACTATATTTAATTTAATTCCAAACAGTGCCAAAATTATGGCCACGTCTGGTGTTGTAGCTGTTAGGTTAATTATTCGGCACACACACATCCCTAGGTTAATACCTGTCATAACAAGCAACTGTACCTCTAAGTCTGTCACAGTTAGAAGGTGCTGTTTTGAATTTTTAGATTTGCTTTTACAAGAATGGCAGACACATTCACTAGAACGACACATATCAGTATTAGCGGAAACAATAAAGAAGGGAATACATGATGCCGATTCTGAAGCAAGAATAGAAGCCAGAAAATGTTACTGGGGTTTCCACAGTCACTTCAGCAGAGAAGCAGAGCACTTATACCACACCCTGGAGTCCTCCTATCAGAAAGCCCTGCAGTCCCACCTGAAGAACCCAGACAGCATCGTGTCTCTGCCTCAGTCTGACCGCTTGTCTTCCAGCTCTCAATAGAGTCTAAATCGGCCGCTGTCTGCCAAAAGAAGTCCTACTGGAAGTACCCTGTCTAGAGGTTCTACAGTTAGTACCAAATCTGTGTCAACGACTGCGTCCCTTCAGCGATCTCGAAGTGACATTGATGTGAACGCAGCAGCCAGTGCCAAATCCAAAGTCTCCTCATCTTCGGGCACAACACCTTTCAGCTCCACAGCGGCTTTGCCTCCAGGGTCATACGCATCCTTAGGTCGGATCCGCACAAGACGGCAAAGCTCTGGGAGGGCCACCAACGTCGCCTCTACACCTTCTGATAACCGGGGCCACAGTCGCGCTAAAGTGGTTTCACAGTCCCAGCCCGGCAGCCGGTCAAGTTCTCCAGGAAAATTGTTGGGAAGTAGTTATGGTGGACTTGCTGGGGGCTCCTCACGAGGCCCACCTGTGACACCATCTTCAGAAAAGCGAAGCAAGATTCCCAGGAGCCAGGGATGTAGCCGGGAAACGAGTCCAAACCGAATAGGATTAGATCAGTTTGGGCTTGGCCAGCCAGGAAGAATACCCGGTTCTGTGAATGCCATGAAAGTTTTAAGCACAAGTACAGACCTTGAAGCTGCTGTTGCTGATGCTTTGCTGTTAGGAGACTCCAGGAGCAAGAAGAAGCCTGTGAGGAGGAGGTATGAGCCGTATGGGATGTATTCTGACGATGACGCCAACCGTGAGGCCTCAAGTGTTTGCTCTGAGCGCTCATATGGCTCCAGGAATGGTGGCATTCCCCATTATCTGCGGCAGACCGAGGATGCAGCAGAAGTTCTCAACCACTGTGCTAGTTCAAACTGGTCAGAAAGGAAAGAAGGGCTTCTGGGCCTGCAGAACCTACTAAAGAGCCAAAGAACACTGAGTCGAGTTGAACTGAAAAGACTGTGTGAGATTTTCACCCGGATGTTTGCCGATCCTCACAGCAAGAGAGTTTTCAGTATGTTTTTGGAGACTCTTGTGGATTTCATAATAATTCATAAGGATGACTTGCAAGACTGGCTTTTTGTTCTTCTCACACAATTACTTAAGAAATGGGAGCAGATTTACTTGGAACTGTGCAAGCAAAAGTCCAAAAGGCTCTAGATGTCACCAGGGACTCCTTTCCATTTGATCAACAATTTAACATTTTGATGAGATTTATTGTGGATCAAACTCAAACTCCAAACCTCAAGGTCAGAGTTGCAATCCTGAAATATATTGAGTCTCTGGCCAGACAGATGGATCCAAGGCTTGCTGTTTCTAGAATCATAACCTGGATAACAGAACCAAAGAGTTCAGACATGAGAAAGGCAGCACAAATTGTGCTAATCTCTCTGTTTGAATTGAATACTCCTGAATTTACCATGTTACTTGGTGCCTTGCCAAAAACATTCCAGGATGGTGCCACCAAACTCCTGCATAACCACCACAAGAATTCCAGTAACACCAGTGTGGGCTCTCCAAGCAATACGATTGGCCGAACACCCTCCCGACACACCAGCAGCAGGACCAGCCCCCTGATCTCACCTACCAACTGTTCCCATGGGGGTCTGTCTCCAAGCATGCTGGACTATGATACAGAGAACCTGAACTCTGAAGAAATCTATAGTTCTCTATGTGGAGTTACAGAAGCCATTGAAAAGTTTAGTTTTCGAAGCCCAGAAGATCTGAATGAACCAATTAAACGAGATGGCAAAAAGGAGTGTGATATTGTGTCCCGCAATGGGGGCACTGCCTCTCTTGCCACCGAGGGCCGTGGGGGCAGCGAGGTAGAAGGAGGCCGGAAAGCTCTGGATAACAAGACCTCGCTACTCAACACCCAGCCTCTGCGTGCCTTCCCGGGGCTGCAGGCGTGAGAGTACAACCCGTACCCTTACTCAGATGCCATCAACACCTACGACAAGACTGTCCTGAAGGAGGCTGTGTTTGATGACGACATGGAGCACCATTCTGACCTGGTGGCTGACCTTCTGAAAGAGCTGTCCAACCACAACGAGTGGGTGGAGGAACGGAAAGGAGCCCTGCTGGAGCTGCTCAAAATCACATGGGAAGACAGCCTTGGCGTCTGGGAGGAGCACTTCAAGACCATTCTGCTCCTGCTGCTGGAGACCCTTGGAGACAAAGACCTTTCAATTTGAGCACTGGCATTGAGAGTTTTGAGGGAAATTCTGAGAAATCAACCAGCAAGATTTAAAAACTACGCTGAGCTGACGATTATGAAGACTCTGGAAGCCCACAAAGACTCCCATAAGAAGGTGGTGAGAGCGGCTGAGGAGGCTGCGTCCACACTAGCCAGTTCCATCCACCCAGAGCAGTGCATCAAGGTGCTCTGACCCATCATCCAGACGGCCGACTATCCCATCAACCTTGCTGCCATCAAGATGCAGACCAAAGTCGTCGAGAGGATCGCCAAGGAGTCGTTGCTGCAGCTCCTCGCTGACATCATCCAAGGCTTGCTGAAGGGTTATGACAACACTGAAAGTAGTGTGCATAAGGCCAGTGTGCTTTGCTTAGTGGCAATTCATTCCGTAATCAGAGAAGACCTGAAACCTCACCTCGCACAGCTCACAGGGAGCAAGATGAAGCTACTAAACTTATATATATAAAGAGGGCCCAGACCACCAACAGCAACAGCAGCTCCTCCTCCGATGTCTCCACGCACAGCTAATAGCAGCGCCTGTCTCTTGTGCAGACCTAGAAGCAATCGGTGGTGCCTCTCAGAGACCTCTCCCTACCCCTTCATCGGCTGCCCAGTCAGTACAAGGAGGCCCACAAATATTTATTACAATCAGTATTTTGGCCCCTTCTAGCTTTTCTGCAGAATCTTACTGGTATTGAATGTAAAGGAAGCAAGGCCTGTATTGCAGTCTTCATACAAAACAAAAGGAATAAGAACAGAAAAGAGCCATACTGAAACATGTCTTGTGCAGCCTGCAGAGATGGTGAAACCGTGCATGTGGGGTGCAGTTTCTAAAAACCAGAGCACTCTGGCACTGGTTGGTAGAAAGTAGCATTTTTTTTTCAGTTAATAACAGATCTGGGGGTGGGGTGGGGTGTTACTTTGTGTCCCTCCTCCTTAGCCTGCTTTCAGACTGACATTTGGTGGGCATCATTCTGGGACAAAGATAGCAGAAGAAGAAACTGGTAGCATCCCTCGCTGTTCCGCAGCTGCTACAGGTGTACCCCAGACAAGCAGAGGCTGGAGTGGACCTCAGCAGTCGTACAGCAGAGGGGCTAGACTGGTAGAAGGAAAACCAAGTAACAGAAATACTTCATCATCAACAATCTGGGCGTCCACTCAGAGAACCAACCGAAAAGTCAGCAACTACTCAGATTGCAGGAGGATAAACCCACAAAGATGGGAAGAAACCAGCGCAAAAAAAAAAGGAAAACACCCGAAACCAAAACACCGCGACTCCTACAAAGGACCAAAACTCCTCACCAGCAAGGGAACAAAGCTGGACGGAGAATGAGGGTGATGAAATGATGGAATCAGACTTCAGAAGGTGGATAATGAGAAACTTCCGTGAGCTAAAAGAACATGTTCTAAATCAATGCAAAGAAACTAAGAACCTTGAAAAAAGTTCTGAAAAAAGGTTCAAGGAAATGGTAACAAGAATAAACAACTTAGAGAGGAATATGAACAAATTGAAGGAGCTGAAAAACAACACGAGAATTTTGCGAAGCATGCACAAGCTTCAACAGCCGAGCTGACCAAGCAGAAGAAAGAATATCAGAAGTCGAAGATCAACTCAATGAAGTAAAATAAGAAATGAAGATTAGAGAAAAAAGCACAAAAAGGAATGAACAAAGTCTCCAAGAAATGTGGGATTATGTGAAGAGACCTAACCTATGTTTGATAGGTGTACCAGAATGTGATGAAGAGAATGAATTCAAGCTGGAAAATACTCTTCAGGATATTATCCAGGAAAATTTCCCCAACCTAGCAAGCCAGGCCAATACTCAAGTCCAGGAAATACAGAGAACACCACAAAGATATTCCGCAAGAAGAGGAACCCCAAGGCACATAATCATCAGATTCAACAGGGTTGAAATTAAGGAGAAAATACTAAGGGCAGCCAGAGAGAAAGGTCAGATCACTCACAAAGGGAAGCCCATCAGACTCACAGCAGATCTCTCGGCAGAAACTCTACAAGCCAGAAGAGAGTGGGGGCCAATATTTAACATCCTTAAAGCAAAGAACTTTCAACCCAGAATTTCATATCCAGCCAAACTAAGCTTCATAAGTGAAGAAAAAATAAAATCCTTTGCAAACAAGCAAGTACTCAGAGATTTTATCATCACCAGGCCTGCTTTACAAGAGCTCCTGAAAGAGGCACTACACATAGAAAGAAGCAACCAGTACCAGCCATCCCAAAAACATACCAAATGCTAAACAGCATCAAAAAAAGAATAATCTGCACCAACTAACAGGCAAAACAGCCAGCTAGCATCAAAATGGGAAAATCAAATTCACACATAACAATATTAACCCTAAATGTAAATGGGCTAAATACACCAATCAAAAGACACAGACTGGCAAATAGGATAAAAAGCCAAAACCCGTTGGTGTGCTGTATCCAGGAAACCCATCTCACACGCAAGGATACACAAAGACTCAAAATAAAGGGATGGAGGAAGATTTACCAAGCAAATGGAGAGCAAAAAAAAAAGCAGGAGTTGCAATTCTCGTCTCTGAAAAAATAGACTTTAAAGCAACAAAGATCAAAAAAGATAAAGAAGGTCATTACCTAATGGTAAACGGATCGATACAAGAAGAGCTAACGATCCTAAATATATATGGACCCAATACAGGAGCACCCAGCTATATAAGGCAAATTCTTAACAACCTACAAAGAGACTTAGACTCGCACACAATAATAGTGGGAGACTTTAACACTCCATTTAACACTGTCAATATTAGACAGATCAACCATACAGAAAATTAACAAGGAAATCCAGGACTTGAACTCAATTACAGAACTCTCTACCCCAAATCCACAGAATATACATTCTTCTCAGCACCACATCACACCTACTTGAAAATTGACCACATAATTGGAAGTAAAGCACTCCTCAGCAAATGCAAAGCAACTGACATAATAACAAACAGTCTCTCAGACCATAGTGCAATCAAGTTAGAACTCAGAATTCAGAAACTAACTCAGAACCGCATAGCTTCATTGAAACTGAACAACTGGTTCTTGAATGTTGAATGGATAAAGAATGAAATGAAGGCAGAAATAAAGAAGTTCTTCGAAACCAATGAGAACGAAGACACAACATACCAGAATCTCTGGGACACATTTAAAGCAGTCTCCAGAGGAAAATATATAGCAATAAGTGCCCATATGAGAAGAGTGAAGAGATCCAAAATTGACACCCTATCATCAAAATTGAAAGAGCTAGAGGAGCAAGATCAAAAAAACTCAAAACCTATCAGAAGGCAAGAAATAACTAAGATCAGAGCTGAACTGAAGGAGATAGAGACACAAAAAACCCTTGAAAAAAATCAATAAATCCAAGAGCTGGTTTTTTGAAAAGATCAACAAAATAGACAGACCACTAGCCAGACTGATAAAAAAGAAAAGAGAGAACAACCAAGTAGATGCAAAAAAAAATGATAAAGGGGAAAATCACCACAGATTCCACAGAAATTCAAATCATTATCAGAGAATATTACAAACAACTCTATGCACATAAACTAGTAAACCTGGAAGAAATGGATAAATTTCTGGACACCTGTGTCCTCCCAAGCCTAAACGAGGAGGAAGCTGAAACTATGAATAGACCAGTAACAAGATCTGAAGTCGAGGCAGCAATTAAGAGCCTACCACACAAAAAAAGCCCAGGTCCAGATGGGTTCACAGCCGAATTCTACCAGACACACAAAGAGGAGCTGGTACCATTCCTTCTGAAACTATTCCAAATAATCCAAAAAGAGGGAATCCTTCCCAAATCATTTTATGAGACCAACATCATCCTGATACCAAAACCCGGCAGAGACTCAACAAGAAAAGAAAACTTCAGGCCAATATCCATAATGAACATAGATGCAAAAATCTTTAATAAAATACTGGCAAGCCGATTGCAGCAGCACATCAAAAAACGTATCCGTCATGATCAAGTCGGATTCATCCCGGGAATGCAAGGCTGGTTCAACATACGCAAGTCCATAAATGTAATTCACCACATAAACAGAACCAAAAACAAAAACCACATGATTATCTCAACTGATGCAGAGAAGGCCTTTGACCAAATTCAAAAGTGCTTTATGCTTAAAAACCCTCAATAAACTCGGTATTGAATATCTCAAAGTAATAAAAGCTATTTATGACAAACCAACAGCCAATATCATACTGAATGGGCAAAAACTGGAAGCATTACCTTTGAATCTGGCACTACACAAGGATGCCCTCTTTCATCACTCCTATTCAATATAGTACTGGAAGTTCTAGCCAGAGCAATAAGGCAAGAAAAAGAAATAAAGTGTATTCAAACAGGAAAGGAGGAAGCCAAACTGTCTCTATTTGCAGACGACATGATAGTATACCTGCAAGACCCCACTGCCTCAGCCCAAAAACTCCTAAAACTGATAAGCAACTTCAGCAAAGTCTCAGGATACAAAATCAATGTGCAAAAATCACAAGCATTCCTATACACCAATAACAGACTGAAAGAGAGCCAAATCAAGAATGAACTGCCATTCACAATTGCTACAAAAAGAATAAAATACCTAGAAATACAACTCACAAGGAACATAAGAGATCTCTTCAAGGAAAACTACAAACCACTGCTCAACAAAATAAGAGAGGACACAAACAGATGGAGAAACTTTCCATGTTCATGGTTAGGAAGAATCAATATCGTGAAAATGGCTATACTGCCCAAAGTAATTTACAGAATCAATGCTATCCTCATCAAGCTACCATTGACTTTCTTCACAGAACTGGAAAAAACCACCATGAACTTCATATGGAAACAAAAGAGAGCCCGCATAGCCAAGTCAATTCTAAGCAAAAAGAACACAGCAGGAGGCATCACACTACCGGACTTCAAACTATACTACAAGGCTACAGTAATCAAAACAGCATGGTACTGGTACCAAAACAGAGACATAGACCAATGGAACAGAACAGAGGCATCAGAGGCAACACAACATATCAACTACCATACAATCTTGGATAAACCTGACAACAACAAGCAATGGGGAAAGGATTCCCTGTTTAATAAATGGTGTTGGGAAAACTGGCTAGCCATGTGCAGAAAGCAGAAACTGGACCCCTTCCTGACACCTTACACTAAAATTAACTCCAGATGGATTAAAGACTTAAACATAAGACCTGGCACTATAAAAACCCTAGAAGAAAATCTAGGCAAAACCATTCAGGACATAGGAGTAGGCAAGGACTTCATGAACAAAACACCAAAAGCATTGGCAACAAAAGCCAAAATAGACAAATGGGACCTAATGAAACTCCACAGCTTCTGCACGGCAAAAGAAACAGTGACTAGAGTGAACTGGCAACCAACAGAATGGGAAAAATTTTTTGCAGTGTACCCAGCTGACAAAGGGCTGATATCCAGAATTTACAAAGAACTCAAACAGATTTACAGGAAAAAAACAAACAAGCCCATTCAAAAGCGGGCAAAGGATATGAACAGATA